GCATTCCTCGCGACCCTCGCCCGTAGACCTTGCTTTCTCCGCCCACCGCCCTTGCCCCGCCCGTCGCCCTCGCCGCCTCGCCGCTTCGCCGCCCGTCGACCTCGCTTCCCTCGCCCATCGCTCTCGCTTCCCCCGCCTGTCGCTCTCGCTTTCCCCGCCTACCACCCTCGCCTCGCCCGTCGCCCTCGCCGCTTCCCCGCCCGTCGCCCTCCCTTCCGCCCGTCACCCTCCCTTCCGCCCGTCACCCTCCCTTCCGCCCGTCACCCCCCCTTCTGCCCGTCGCCCTCCCTTCCGCCCACCGCCCTTCCTTCCCCTCGTCGCGCTCCCTTCCGCCTGTAACAACCACGGCCCTTATAACAACGGGCAACCGTGTGTTAAATATAAATCCTCCTTGACAACTTATATAAAATCAAGATACAAGGCTTCCAAGTTTAACTAACCCCACCAAGGGGTAATCTAGCCTTGATAATATCCTTGAAGCTTGAGATGAGAAAGAGAGCTTGAAGTAGGTTGATGAAGCTTTAGCAAGTAGGTAGGTAGCGTCTTGTAGAGCTTGTCCTTGAAGAATCACAAGTCTAGTTGTGTAGGAGAGCTTGTTAGGAGAACCAAAAGACTTATGAGCTTGAAAGCTCCAACCCCTTCCATCATACCCCTTGGGGCTCTTCCCAACCATGGCTTCCATGGTTGGGGAGCTAATAGGCTTGGAGCCTAGGTGGCATCTTTGTTTGGTTGGGGAAACCCAACTTAATTGTGTTGTATGGTTGTTTTGTTGTATGGTTGGATTGTAACAACAACTGGCACAATTTGATTGGTTGTAAATCCAACCTTCCCAATCTTCACTTTGATGGGTTGGAAGTTTCCAAGCCTCAATGTTGAGGGTTGGAAATCCCAAGCCAATGTTCATCTCCAACTCAACCTTCCCGATTGCCTTCACGTCATTTCTCATCGAGTCATTTCTCATCGATGTTGACTTAGGAAGCTAGCGGTAGATTAGGCAGAGTAGGTCATGCGTTACACTCCTCCCCCCCTAGGTGGCAACGTCCCCGTTGCCTTAGGGTGCTTCTGAGGACGAGCGCTGCGAGCACGCCGTGTCACATTACGACCAGGCTCAACACCATTCACTGGTTGTGTGGCGGCTCGTTGAGCCAGGTCTGCCATGTATGACTGAACTGCAGTTTCAGTCAAGTGCTCTTCTGGCTCCCATGAGTTGTGTTCAGGCCCGTAGCCTTTCCACTTGATGAGGAACTCTCGTACTGTCTTGCGGCCGCGCTGTCGATCACGATGCATCAGTACTCGTTCGACTTCATAAAACAGTTCCTCCCCCAGGACGATCGTTGGTGGCGGCAAGTACTTGCCCTCTGCAACGTACTTGTTCAACAGAGACACATGGAAGACGTTGTGAATCTGTAAAGTGTCAGGTAGCTTAAGCTTGTAGGCTACCACACCAACACGCTTGATCACCTCGAATGGCCCAATCCATCGAGGGAACAACTTTCGTGCTCCAGGGATTTTGAGACGAATGTTCTTCGTGCTCAACAAAACTTTGTCTCCAACCTCAAATGAGACTTCCCGGCGTTTCATGTCGGCGTAAGACTTTTGTCGCTGCTGAGAGAGTTGCAGCCAATGGCGAGCGGACTTAAGCGCTTCTTGCTGCTTGCCAACAAAGTCTTTAGCGGCTGGAATTTTCAATCCACCGATCCCATGCGTAGCAGGTGTTGTGGGATGCCGACCACAGTTCAGAATGAAAGGTTTCTCACGTGTACCTTCATGAACTGAATTGTTCACTGCGAATTCAACGACAGGCAACAACTCGTCCCAATCATCCTGAGTTGGGCCAATGAATGAACGAAGCATCTGCTCAAGTGTCCGGTTTGTTTGTTCCGTCTGCCCATCCATTTGTGGGTGGAACGCTGAGGACATCTTAAGCTTCGTTCCTAGTGTCCGTGTAACCTCGTGCCAGAACCGGCTTGTGAAACGCGGATCTCGGTCGGACACCAAGACACGTGGTAACCCGTGTAAGCGGAAAACGTGCGCCACAAACAGTTTGGCCGTATCTTCCGCAGATACGTCAGTTGTCGTAGCCACGAAATGCACCATCTTTGTCAGACGATCCACAAATACTAGGATCGTTGTATGGCCATCGCGAGTCTTGGGAAGATCCGTGATAAAATCCAAGGATACGCTCTCCCAAGGTTCATTCGGGATTTCAAGTGGTTGAAGCAAACCACCAGGCTTCTTTGTGTCCGTTTTATTTCGTGCGCATGCATCGCATCTCGCCACGAATTGTTGGACCTCAGTGCCCAATCCCGGCCACCAGTACACATCACTCAAGGCCCACCTGGTCTTTTTAACCCCTAGGTGCCCTCCGTACTTAGTGGCATGCACTTCTTCCAGAATATCGTTCCGCAGGTTACCTACGTGAGGTACAACAATCTCATTCTTATGCCACCAGAGCTCATGCTCCCACTTGAGTTCCTTCGTGTTTCGTGGGTTCTGAAACCAGGAGTCAATTTGATACCCTGTGCAGATGCGTTTCAGAAAACCACTGAAGGTAATCTCACTCACTCGAGCCGTTGCTAGGACACCGAAGCAAGCAGAAAATACTGCCGCATCCTCTGTGTCGTCTAGCCGTGTTGCTGCCCCTATCGGCTGTCTGCTGAGGGGGTCAGCCAGGTTCGTCGAACCTGCTCGATATCGAATATCGAAAGTGAACCCACTAAGGAGTTCCGCCCATCGGGCTTGACGTCGAGTAAGCATGGCTTGAGTGGAGAAGTAGGTGTTTGGACAGTGGTCGGTCGTAACCACAAAATCCACACCCTCCAGATAACAACGCCATGTGCGTAGCGCATGAACGACCGCCAACAACTCCTGTTCGGACGTCGTATAGCGCTGCTCTGCCGGGGAGAGCTTTCGACTCTCAAATGCCACTAGTCTCTCCTCTTGCAAGAGGACAGCCCCAATCCCTATCAATGAGGCGTCAGTAACAACCTCATATGGTTTCGTCGGATCTGGTAAAACCAGTACCGGAGAGTTGGTCAGCATTCGCTTGACCTCGTCGAATGCCTTTTGGCATTGCTGTGTCCATTGCCAAGCGCTACTCTTGCGAGTGAGGGCCGTCAATGGAGTAACAATGGTAGAATAATTCTGCAAGAATCGACGAAAATAGTTTGCCAGTCCCAAAAACGACCTGATTTGACCCACATCTTGTGGCACCGGCCAGTTTTGGACTGCGACAACTTTCTTTGGGTCTACTTTGAGACCATCATTTCCCACGAGATGGCCAAGGTATTCCAACTCGCGTTTGTAGAAATGACATTTCCACAGACGAGCATAGAACTTATGCTCGCGTAGCTTCCCCAACACCCACTTAAGGTGTTGCGTGTGCTCCTCTTCCGTCTTGGAATAAACCAAGATGTTATCCAGATAGACCAGAACGAACTGTCCAATCGCTTCGCGAAAGACATCAATCATAGCTCTCTGAAAAGAGGCAGGAGCATTGGTCAAGCCAAAGCTCAGCACTCGCCACTGAAAATGACCAAACGGCGATCGGAAAGCCGTCTTGGGTACATCTTCTTCAGTGATGCGCAATTGGTGATACCCCTGCGCGAGGTCCAATGCGCCGAACCACTGGGCACCCTAGAGTTTGTCGAACAGGTCCTCTATTCTTGGTAGGGGATACCTGTTCTTCACCGTTATCTTGTTCAGAGCGCGGTAGTCTACGCACATGCGTAACCCTCCGGCCTTTTTGTTCACAAACAAGATCGGCGCTCCGTAAGGTGATGCGCTTGGTTCAATCCATCCCTTCCTGAGGTACTCCTCAATTTGTTGTTTAGCCTCCTCGTACTCAGCTGGACTGAGGCGATACAGAGGTCTAAACGGTGGGAGTTTTCCAGGCTCCACTGGGATGGTGTGACCGACAGCACGGTCCGGAGGAAGGCCATCTGGGATGGCCTCAAAAACCTCCGCAAACTCGTCTGCCAGTGCTTTCATCTGATGCGGAAAATCCTCGACCCCAGGCAGTTCGTGTTCAGCATTCTTAAGCTGTACCACAAAGAATGTATCAGCTTGTCGAACATGCTGTCCGAACTCATTCGCGAGCGCAAAACTCACGTCAGGGCGTTCCAACATGGGTTGGACGTTCGTGATCAATTCCTTAGGCACTTGCCACTGGACAGTGTCACCATTCTTTGAGAATGAAACCGTATTGTCCTGGAAATCGAGCTTGACTTCATTTTCTCGAAGCCAATCCATTCCAAGGACAAGGTCGACGCCTGCGAGAAGTGGTAAAACATACGCGCAGATCTCTTCGTGATAACCCTCAATCTCCATGTTGATCCGTGTCTGCCCTTTGCTTGGGATGATGCTATCATCACCAAGGCGAATGGGGCAAGACGGTCCTTCAACGAGGATCGTGCGTGCTGTGGCCCACTTTTCGTCAAAGAGGGAAACAGTTGCACCCGTGTCAACAAGGATTTTTGAGTTTTCCCCGTTCACGCTACCCGCAAGCAACAAATTTTGTTGATGCTTTGGGCGAATAGGACATGCCACAATACTCGTCGAAGGTTTGAAGTACACCTTGACGTTGTGACGAGCGCGTCCATGTGACTGAGAGTTGGTCCACCACATATGGTGTCCCTTGTCCCACGCCGCTAGGACCGGCCATCCACGAAGCGCATGGAACAATTCGCCTTTCACTGTGCGAGTCACCAACGCGACCGAAGTCAGGGGGTGCTCTTGAGTGCAACGACTCACAATCTCAATGACAGAAGGCAGAATGTCCAAGCCACAGAAAATAATTGAAAAATTATCCTGCATTGCTTCCATGGAAATGTTCTCAAGTGGGTACGATCGAGGATAAAAAACAGAGTTTTTATTAAAAGGAGAGGCAAACAAACAAGAGACTTTGCAATCAGCAAGCTTCTCTAGCTTTAATATATCATCATCACATAGCACATATGCCTCATCCACTCGATCTACTCCTCCAACTAGGTACCCACACCCTAGTTGGGCTTCTGAAAATCCTTCTTTCCATAAGGTCCAGCGCCGCCTGGTTTAGGCTTCCCATAATACTTGATAGCGTTCTTGTCACGGCAGTGCTTTTGGATGTGTCCCATTCTTCCACAGCCGTTACACCCCATCTTGGAGAAGTCGGGCTTGTTAGGGCCATGACCTCCCCCCCCGTTAGCCCTCTTGGGCTGTGGTCCAGGCTGGTGATCACGCTGCTGGAAGGGTCGCTTGTTCCAACCGCCTCCGCCGTTGGCATTCTGGGGTCGGTTTTCACGACCACCAGAGCCCTCAGCACGGGGCTGCTGGTCTGGCTTTGCCGGACCATGGATGTACGTGCGAATGATGGTGTCAGTCTTGATCACCTGCTCCTTCATCTCCTTGTAAGTCGTCCAATTGGTCATGCCGCCGGTCATGTGTGCCTCCTGCAGCTTGACAGGGAGGCCTTTCATGAAAACGTGCATCATCTCCTCCTCACACAAGGGCTTCTGGAGCGAGCGTGCTGCGGCCTCAAACTCGACCGCATATTCCTGCACCGAACGGTCATGACACTTGATACTTTCAAGGCGTCCGCGCAGTTCCAGGTCGGACTTCTTGACCATGAATGCCTCTCTCAGCGCGGTGCAGAACTCCGGCCATTCAAACGGTCCTTGCGCCTGCTTCTTAGTGTCATACACTGCCCTGCGGGCCACCTCGTCCAATGCACGAGTGGCTGCAGTAACGCGAGCCTCAGGACGCACATTCGCAAGGATCATGGTGTCATTCACAAGGTCAAGCCAAGGCTGCACCTCCGTCTTGCTATGGTTAAACTCAGGCAGAGGCGCCGAGAGAGACCCAAAGGGCGAGGTCTCGGTTGGAGGTGGCTGGTGCATAGCCGTCGCAGCGCCTGCAGGCGAAGGTGCGGGCGGAGCGGGTGCCGGCTGAGCAGCAGGAGCGGGCCTACGCCCAGGAGGAGGCTGGTAAATGCCCTCCCTCCTAAGCTCTTTGAACTGCTCATGGAGCTTGTTGAATGATGCTTGCAGATTATTGCAAGTCTTCTGAAGCCACTCAATTTGGCGGTTTTTAGTGCCCAGGCTACGACGGAACTCAGTAACCTCCTTCATTGCAATGCGCAGATCAGCCTCAAGGTCCTGAGTATGCTTCTTGAGTCCATCAATGGACGTCTGCTGCTGCAGGATGGTGATATTTTGAGTTGCCACTTTAGCCTGGAGTTGGACAATCTCCTCGGAGATAGGATAACTCATGCCTTCAGTGAAGTCATTTTCATCACCTGTGTTCTCCTTTTCACCGGTGTTATCCTCTTCCCCATGGTTGTCAGCTTCACCATGATTATCAGCTTCACCATGGTTCTCAGCTTCATCATGGTTCTCAGCTTCACCATGGTTATGCTCATCTCCAAGGTCCAGGTCCAGGTCCTCAATATCATCCAACTCAAGGTCAGCCATTGCCTCATCTTGATTGAGGTCAATCTCGGCAGCATTGTTCACCACCTTATTAGGTGTAGTGGGCCCTTCCTCCCTTGCCATATCCTTCTCTTGGCCAGATGCCATAAGGATTAAGGGAGCTTGTAAGATATGAGTTGATTCTGTTAAAGTCTTTTTACCCCCTCAATGGTAAAGAGAATTTCTTATAAAGTAAATTTCTTCTACAGAATAATCCAAAGTTACCAAAGGTAACAGATTTGTTGTCAAACACTCCCAATCACTTAAGTGAAAGGGCAGGGTCTATCCAAATCTCAATAAAGAGAAATTGTATAACCCTCAAGAAATCCTCCAGATCCAAGTTTATACTCCACTACTCAACAGTAGAGAGTCTTCCACCAAAAGGTGGGCAAGAGAGATAAATCTCTCTTCTTAGCTTGAAGTTGAAGTTGAATCTTGTAGATCTTGAACTCTTCAAGCTTCCAGATCTTGAGTGTTCTCTTAAAGAGAAACCACATCTCCAAGATCTATAAAAAAAAAATCTCTAGGGGTAAAATCCCCACTAGGCTTAGGATAACCCTAGCTCTAGATACCAATGTAACAACCACGGCCCTTATAACAACGGGCAACCGTGTGTTAAATATGAATCCTCCTTGACAACTTATATAAAATCAAGATACAAGGCTTCCAAGTTTAACTAACCCCACCAAGGGGTAATCTAGCCTTGATAATATCCTTGAAGCTTGAGATGAGAAAGAGAGCTTGAAGTAGGTTGATGAAGCTTTAGCAAGTAGGTAGGTAGCTTCTTGTAGAGCTTGTCCTTGAAGAATCACAAGTCTAATTGTGTAGGAGAGCTTGTTAGGAGAACCAAAAGACCTAGAGTGAAAATCTCATTTCCAAGTTAGATTGTTGGAGTTAGGAAGTGGGAATGAGCTTGAAAGCTCCAACCCCTTCCATCATACCCCTTGGGGCTCTTCCCAACCATGGCTTCCATGGTTGGGGAGCTAATAGGCTTGGAGCCTAGGTGACATGTTTGTTTGGTTGGGGAAACCCAACTTAATTGTGTTGTATGGTTGTTTTGTTGTATGGTTGGATTGTAACAACAACTGGCACAATTTGATTGGTTGGAATTCCAACCTTCCCAATCTTCACTTTGATGGGTTGGAAGTTTCCAAGCCTCAAGGTTGAGGGTTGGAAATCCCAAGCCAATGTTCATCTCCAACTCAACCTTCCCGATTGCCTTCACGTCATTTCTCATCGATGTTGACTTAGGAAGCTAGCGGTAGATTAGGCAGAGTAGGTCATGCGTTACACCGCCCGTCGCCCTCCCGTCGTCTCGTCGCCCCCCCTTCTGCCCGTTGCCTTCCCTTCCGCCCGCCGCCCTTCCAGAACCCTCGTCGCGCTCCCTTCCGCCCGTCACCCTCCCTTCCGCCCGTCACCCTCCCTTCTGCCCGTCGCCCTCCCTTCCGCCCGCCGCCCTTCCTTCCCCTCGTCGCGCTCCCTTCCGCCCATCGCCCTCCCATCGTCTCGTCGCCCTCCCTTCCGCCCGTTGCCTTCCCTTCCGCCCGCCGCCCTTCCAGAACCTTCGTCGCGCTCCCTTCCGCCCGTCGTCCTCCCTTCGTCTCGTCGCGCTCCCTTCTGCCCGTTGCCCCCCTTCGTCTCGTCGCCCTCCCTCCCGCTCGTCCCCTTGCAATCCCCGTTTCTCTCTCTCTCGCTCACCCCGTCGCCCTCGTTTTCCCCGTCGCCCTCCCATCCACTCCTCGTTGCCCTCGCCATCCCTCCCTTTTCCCTTCTCATCTCTCACACTTGTCACGCCCCCCTTTCCAACCCGCACATACACCCTTCCCTCTCCCGATTGACACATGGTAACTGGAGAGGTTTGGGACTGAAAGTGTTAGGCCTCTGAGGTTGGGAAGAAAAGCAAAGCTGAGGTTCGGCTCCGGAAGTGTTAAAGCTGCGGTATACATTTGAAAGGAAGGGTTCAAAAACTTTTGAAATTTGAAAAGTTGCCCCAAACCTGTGGGGCTCACTCCCTAAACCCTGAACCCTGCTGACAAATGTATACTTCAGCTTTAACACCTCCCAGAAAGTTTGTATTTCAGGCTTCGGGTTTTAAAACCCGAGTCCCAAATTGCGAGGCGCGTGGGTCATGCTTTTAAAACTTGACGAAGTGTAGTGTGTAAGCTTTGAAAAAAAACACACCTGCAATTTGGGACTTTCGGGGACTGACCCAACCCCCAGGGCGAAATACGAGGGCTCGCTGGGTTTGGCGAAAACAACGACTTTCAGGAAATCAGAATCACTCGCCAAAACCCAAACCAGAAAAAACCAATCGCGTCAACCTTTTAAAACTTGTGCAATTTGGGCTTCTGGCTACGATTTCGATGCATTTTACTGATTTTGGAGGGCCTCAACCCCAAATGCACACTGATGTGAACTGGGGTCAAGGTCGACACGTCAGAACGCGTCCTGGCAAATTTCTGTCGAGAGCCCCATCTCTCGTTATCGCTCACAAACCTACTCAACCGCTCGGTGTGTTTGCTCAAGCTGTTACGTGCTCTGAGGTTTGCTCGGTGTGACATGCCATTATCCCTCCATAGCGGAATAGCTCGATCGCCAGGGCTAGCGCCGCACGTTTTTTTTAAGAGGTATCGTGCACCTTACGGTTGAAATCTTGTCCTCTGCAAGTTTCCGCAATGGCGGAGCTTCGGACGCAGAACACCCCGCCAAAGTCCGGGGAAACGCGAGTAGGGGAACTTACACTCCCCGCTATGGCGGAGCTGGCGCAAGCCTCGGGGTTCTCATCGGCGCAATCTCCGCGCACGATGTGCTCTCAGTGTCAGCAGGACCCCGCGAAGTACAGGTGTCCTGGCTGTAGTGCTGCCACGTGTAGCGTGCCATGCGTAAAAGCGCACAAGGGGGCGAGCGGATGCACGGGGAAGCGGAACCGCGCGGAGTTTGTTCCTATAACGAAGTTCGACGACAACCAGCTGGTATCAGGTGGGACCTTAAACCAAGGATACTGTATTGATGAGCAGTGTAGTAGTTATTGAGATGACCTTATATCGAGGATTCTGTTCCAGTGTCACTTCTGGCGGGCCCACGGTACGATTCCAGTCCAAGCTCGTTATATCCGCAACGATAGCAGGGTCTCGTAGCGCAATTCCTCCTTGTGTCGTATCGTGACCAAATCCCCAGAACCCAGGGGTAAACCCCGCAAAACCCCCCTCCCCTCTCCCCCCTCCCCCTCTCCCCCCCCCCCCCCCCCCACCCCCCCCCCCCCCCCCCCCCCCCTCCTCCTCCTCCTCCGCGCGCGTGAACCTCGAACTTCAGTTACAGGATCTCGTATCTCAAAACCTCCTAGTTGTGACCAAACTCCTTGTAACAGTTGAGGTCTGAGTCCCTTCTAGATACCCTGATATATTCCATTCGTCTCCCCTCAGCCCCTGATATACCCTGTCCCTCTACTTAAACCCCTGATTCCCCTGCCGCCGCTGCTACCCCTGCTGCCCCTACCATCCTTTGCGCCCTTGCCACCCCTCCTGCAACCACCAGACCTGTGTTTTCTGGAAGATGCGTTGCTTCAGTATGACGTGGCGAAGACCTCACCCCACCCCCTTCCCTCCCCCCCCCCCCCCCCCCCCCCACCCCTCTCCCCATTAAATGTCCACTCCTTGCTCCCGCTTCCCCCCTCTCCTCTCACCAGACCTGCGTTTCCTGGAAGATGCGTTGCTGCAGTATGACGTGGCGAAGGGCACTCGCATGGTCCCTCCTTCTCCGCCCTCCCCCCCACAGCCCCCTCCCCCACCCAACCCCCCAACCCCCCGACCCTCCGCCTCCCCTCCAACCACAAGCAGACCTGCGTTTCCTGGAAGTTGCGTTGCTGCAGTATGACGTGGCAAAGCGCACACGCACGGCTCTAGGTGTCCGTTACGAGGCACAGGTAAGAAGCTGAACGGAAGGTTCTTCCTCTCTCTCTCACGCAGACCTGTCGCTCAAGTATGGGTTGCTAAAAGCGTCTCTCACTTAAGTATTGGGAGCTAAGAACGCCTCTCAATGAAGTCACAGATGTGCACGTGGCAGTTCAAAATTGGTGTTAATATGGTGAATCAAGTTTTAATTCCTAGAAGTTGCATACGTGCATGAGCATGAGTACTAGCATGAGTTTCATGCCATTTGTGCTATTTGTATGCTAATGCATCAAGTTGCTACAGTAGGCACTAGCATGATTTTCAGGCAAGTTAGCTGTGAAAGGGGTGAGGCAGGCTCATATCCCTTCAACAATGCACTTACCCCTTCAGCCGTGCACTTACTCACCTGTTCAACCGTTCTCGGTCGTATATCAGGTGGGCAAGCACTGGGGCCGAATCGCATGCAGCAGACGGCCAGGCAGAGGGGCGTACAGCTGCTGTCTGATAAACCCTAATCCTATTCCTGGAGTATTTTTCGCTTCCCCATTCCACTTCTCCTGTATGTCAGGTGGGAAAGCACTGGGGGCGCATGCAGCAGACGGCCAGGCAGAGGGGCGTGCAGCTGCTTCCAATGCTCCCTTCGAATGTTCTTCACCCCAATCAACCGTTCTCTTTCCCCTTCAACCGTATACCACCAGGTGGGAAAGCACTGGGGGCGCATGCAGCAGACGGCCAAGCAGAGGGGCGTGCAGCTGCTACCATTGCTCCCCTCAATTGCGCTCCACCCCGTTCAACCGTTCTCCACCCCCACAACAGGTGGGAAAGCACTGGGGGCGCATGCAGCAGACTGCCAAGCAAAGGGGCGTGCAGCTGCTGCTGATGCCGCCAGGCATGTCCAAGCGCAAGGCGAACCGAACCTACTTCCAGCACAGGTACCGCTCTGAACCCCTGCGCACCCAACACACCACATTCTATACATTGCAGTTCCCTCCTTCTTGCTAGTGCTGATGCCGCTAGGCATGTCCAAGCGCAAGGCCAACCGAACCTACTTCCAGCACAGGTACCGTTCTGAACCCTTGCACACCCACACCCACTCCACACACCCCAAATCATCCATATAATGCCTTGGCATTGAGCTGCTGCTGATGCCGCCTGGGATGTCCAAGCGCAAGGCAAATGAACGTACTTCCAGCACAGGTACCGCTTTGAACCCCCACACACCCCACTCCATACATTGCCGTCCAACACAGGTGTGTGTGTGTGCAGTAAACATGACAGGTAGTATTTTTCTTGCTAGTGGTGCTGATGCCGCCCGGCATGTCCAAGCGCAAGGCAATCCGAGCATACTTCCAGCACAGGTGCATGCAATCCAGTTACGGTTGGCGTTCTCGTACCGATGCCACCATGTATGTGTAAATGCGATGCAAGGCAAAGAGAACGTGCTTCGAGAACAGGTAGTGTTTTGGGTCCCCCCTAATGAGGTTCCGTTTGTCTTGCTCATGCCGATGCCACCAGTTACATACATGCCACCAGGTACATATATGCCACCAGGTACATACATGCCACCAGGTACATACATGCCACCAGGTACATACATGCCACCAGGTACATACATGCCACCAGGTACATACATGCCACCAGGTACATACATGCCATCAGGTACATACATGCCACCAGTTACATACATGCCACCAGGTACATACATGCCACCAGGTACATACATGCCACCAGGTACATACATGCCACCAGGTACATACATGCCACCAGGTACATACATGCCACCAGGTACATACATGCCTCCAGGTACATACATGCCACCAGTTACATACATGCCACCAGGTACATACATGCCACCAGGTACATACATGCCACCAGGTACATACATGCCACCAGGTACATACATGCCATCAGGTACATACATGCCACCAGTTACATACATGCCACCAGGTACATACATGCCACCAGGTACATACATGCCACCAGGTACATACATGCCACCAGGTACATACATGCCACCAGTGCCGTTGCAAATGTAACGCAAAACTAAGAGAACCTGCTTCCAGCACAGCTGGCCGATCCCCCTCTACTTCATGTGATGCGATCACCGCAGCCGATCCCTCCCAACCTTATTGTGTGTCTGCATGTATGTATGTGTGTGTCTGCATGTATGTATGTGTGTGTCTGCATGTATGTATGTGTGTGTCTGCATGTATGTATGTGTGTGTCTGCATGTATGTATGTGTGTGTCTGCATGTATGTATGTGTGTGTCTGCATGTATGTATGTGTGTGTCTGCATGTATGTATGTGTGTGTCTGCATGTATGTATGTGTGTGTCTGCATGTATGTATGTGTGTGTCTGCATGTATGTATGTGTGTGTCTGCATGTATGTATGTGTGTGTCTGCATGTATGTATGTGTGTGTCTGCATGTATGTATGTGTGTGTGCATGTGTGCATGTGTGTATGCATGTGTTTGTGTGTGTGTCTGCATGCATGTGTATATGTGCGCGTGCATGTGTGTATGCATGTGCCCACTGCAGGAAGAGATGCATCGTGTGGCATGTGAGGTGGCAGTTTGCAGTCCGGTCCGTCCGCATGGATCCCAACAACAACAGCCACTTGCATGCTAATGCTAATCCACGATGTTTGTGCGCGTGTATGTGTGATGCAGGAAGCGATGCATCATGTGGCATGTGCGATGGCAGTTTGCATTCCGGTCCGTCCGCATGGATTCGAACGAGAGCATTGATGCTTAGACCAGGAGTAAGGCACAAGACATTGAGAGGAGTAACACGCCAGGCATCACCAGCAATTTCCCAGACGTTGCTGTCCCCACAGCCCCACTCTCGACTTTCCTTCTGCCGCACGTGGTAGATTCAATGTGAGTCTTTGAGAAATTTCAAAGAACTCTTCCAACCACAGCCCTGCTCTCTACGTTCCTTCTGCCACACACGGTAGGTTCAATGTGAGTCAGGTCAGGAGGAATGCACATGTGAAGCACATGTTAACTCACATGTTTTCACTGGTCAGTTTGAATCAAGTGCTGATGCGCTACTTCAGCACGCCATGTTGCAGCCACCTCAGATCATACTCTTCGTAAATTACAAGAATTGTCAATACTTAACATCGAGAATCAAGTATATTTCCCTTTGACTTACTTTCAAGTTTCGTACACTCTTGTTTGTTTCACTCTCTCCCTCAATATCCCCATTCCGCTGTTCGTAGATTTTCAGAGGATGAGCCGCTTATTGCAGCGGCTGAAGCAGCCACCAAACAAGCACTGAAAGCCCCTATCCTGTGTCTCCCTTTCCCCCCTTTATATCCCCAATCCCTTCTCGTGCACTTAGAGTCTCAGAGGATGCGCCGCTTATGGCAGCAGCTGAAGCAGCCATCACACAAACACTGAAAACCCCAATCGCAGCAGCACATCAAGACTTTAACCTCTTGTTCGTCTCCCTCTTTCTCGCCTTAACATTTCCATTCCCGTGTTTCTAGAGTGTCAGAGGATGAGCCGCTTATAGCAGCAGCTGAAGCAGCCATAAGGCAGGCACTGAAAGGCCAAATTGCAGCAGCACAACCAGCTTTAGCTGCACCTCCAGCAGCAGGGGGAGGAGCGGCAGCATCAGCAGCAGCAGCAGCACCACCACAACCACCAGCAGGAGCACCAGCAGCAACAGAAGCGGCATCGCCGATAGCAACTGCATCTTTGTCCCCATCTTCACCTTCGCATCCATCTTCGCCTCAAATAGCCTCTTTGGGAGACGTCTTGCAGCGATTGAGATTGCAGCTAGAAACGCCTCCTTCGCAGGTATGGTTCTGTTTTTTCATGGGTGTCTTCTTATGTACTTTCTTATTTATGACGCATCCCACAACTAGTTAGGAGAGTTGCTGCAGCGATTGAGATTGCAGCTAAAAACGCCTCCTTCCCAGGTATGATTCTGATTTTTTATGGGGATTTTCTTACGTGGCTATTTATTAGGCATCTCGAAACTATTTGGGAGGGGACTTGCAGCGTCTGAAACTGCTGTTAGAAACCTCCCTTTCAGATGGTTTCGGGTTTTATACATTCTGTCATTTTCATGCCACAGTCACACGCCATACGTGCGTTTTGCGGGTCTGGTTTCATATTCCGTGGTTCTCTCCCCTTGCCATTTTTTGGTGGTCCGGGCTTGGTTATACGACATACCCCTCCCTATCTTCCCTGCACCCTCTTGCTTCTTGCATGAATCTGGCAGCTTTGTTAGCTTGATATCCGCCAAACCCTTCGCACGCAGCTTGGTCATATGACATACCCTCCCCTTTCCCCTCCCTCTCTTCCCTGCGCCCTCTTGCTTCTCGCGTGAAATCTGGCAGCTGTGTGATCTTGACATCCGGCAAACTTTTGGTCATATGACACACCCCCCCTCTTCCCCCACTCCTTCCCACCCCTTTCCCCCCCTTTCCCCTCCCTCTCTTCCCTGCGCCCTCTTGCTTCTCGCGTGAAATCTGGCAGCTGTGTGATCTTGACATCCGGCAAACTTGTGGTCATATGACATATCCCCCCTCTTCCCCCACTCCTTCCCACCCCTTCCCCCCCCTTCCCCCAACCCCCTTTCTTCCCTGCACCCTCTTGCTTTTTGCATGAAATCTGGCAGCTGTGCGATCTTGACATCCGGCAAACCCTTCGCACGCAGCTTGGAGGGCGCACGGTTTTAGAATTTCCCACCATTAGAGTCTCGTGCTTAGTTGAGGATGAAGATTCGGACGATGATGAAAGCGATTCTTCTGAGGATGAAGAGGAAGATGAGGAGGAAGGCAGTGAAGAGGTTATGGAGGACGAAGGCTAATATGAGGAGTGTTGTAAATACCGAGAAATGTGAATTTATGAATGGTACACCATTTGATATGAAATGTCTCTCATAAGGCAGCAAACGAGTTCACCAAAGCGGCCTCATTCTAAGGTCTCCGTTTTGACATCACTTGATCAAGGGACGCGTTTCATTGGTGGTCCTCGATTGATTGCATGACCCGCTTCTCATGCGCCCAATCAGTAAACAGCGTGCGAACAGCTTGCTGTGAAGCTCTCGGATTGGCTGTTTAGTGTCCTCCTGTCCTTCCAAACAGGTCAACGTTCAGTGTTGTGATAATGCGGGCAGAACCTATACGCGCAAACTCTTCCTTATTGTAATGCTTAACACTAACCCACCTGATATGTCAGTCGTAAGCGGTTGAAGGTATCTTTCACACCCTCTGAACTCTGGAGAATTATGGCTTGTCATTTTGCTGCCACTCACCTCTCAACGGCGGATTTACCCTTCCTCCAAGCGAGTGGGCCTTCACGACGCAAGGGTAACCCCAAAAGTATATCACCCTCCTTTCCACCATCACCTTCAATGTCTTTTCGCATCGCCTTGGGACCTCCTAGAGGCTGGAACTCAACCCAAAAAGCCATGGCCGCAGCGAATTAGCGAATCAGTGGAAGCGGTGACCTCCGTCCTCTCGCCTTTCTGCCTATCGTGTTGGTTTTCGAACGCACAGAGCACAGTTGCTCTTTCTCACACCACGGATTTGTTCCTGCTCCTACAATGCTTCTCCTAATCCAATCCACTCAGGTGCTGCATCACTTTTACGCGTACAGTACGAGGCCGCTCTCGAGGATCCGAAAGAGCAAAGCATAGGAAACTGGTGGCTCCAGTTGGCAGGATATTCGGGATCGGCTTCTCTGTTCCATGGATGTGATTCTCCTGATGCACGCGCATCCCCTTTCCATGGACTCGCGATTCCCGCGAACGGCCACGATCCGCTTTCAAACAACCCTTCCATTTCCAAAAGACTTCCATAAGTTTTCGCGACAACGAGGTAAGCCAGGAATCGGCGAAATGAGAAATCCCTCGCGCAACCCTAATCTAGCAGGATGCTTAGTAGGAGCCGCGAAAAGCCGCCGAAACTTAGGAGCCACCGGCAACAGCCAAGTGTATTCTTGCGGCTAAAATTGTGCGTCAGCATTGCCAAGTCACCTCGTCTCGAGCCGTCCGTCGCTGCCCCACGCCTCCTCGATCCCGATCCCCTGCTGTCAGCCGACCAATCAGAGCAAATCTTCTGAGTCAGGTGGTCGGTGGTCGGCTCTCCTCTGAAGCCGTGCCGGTTTCCGCGCCTATCGCGTCACCTCACCTCACCTCTCGTCCTGTCCTGACTCGTGACTCGTCGCGAAGAGCGACTCCTTTCGAGAGAGTCGACTTAGAAATCACCTCGCAACGAGCAACTCCTTGCGAGCTGCAGCTACATAAGGGTGGATTCGCATATGTCGAATTAGCTCAGCTGCGCGAAATTCTCTTTGCAGCTTTGCTTCCTTCTCCGTCTCGCGGAACCCCGTGCGGGTCGCCGCGGCGCATAGCACTAAGGACTTTATTTCAGGCGTGAGCGTTCTCGAGAAACAGTAATTCGTTCATTGTTAGCTCGTCGGGTTTAGTTTCGTTCGAATTTCGTTAAAGTTTTGCGGCTGTAATTGTTGCTGCTTCTTACAATGGTGGCCCATCAGGAATCTTCTACCGTCGCCGCTGCGGCCTTCCTCGCCAGCACTGTGCCAAACGGCGCGAATGGCGTGATGGCGAACAGTTGTGAAAGTGACGGACCTGTCGCGAATGGGGTTACCATCGCCAACGCTGTCGCAAACGTGGAGAACGCCTTCAACGAGTTGAAGAAAACGATCGTGAACGTCGCAGCCAACAGCATCGTTTCGGTGGAGGGGAAGAAGAACAAAGCGGAGAAAGTGGATGAGGGGAAGGAGAAAGAAGCAGTGAGTGTCATTGTGGAGAATGCGGAGAAAATGGAGGAGGACGATAATTACGAGGAGGAGGAAGAGGAGTATGAGCTTCCGTTGATAGCAGATGAACCTGATTCGATCGACGCCCGCGACGCGAACACGCCTGACAAGTACGTCGGAGCGTGATGATGAGAACTGAATCCTCGTTGGAAATTGGAATCCCCAGCTCCGTAACGCGTATGATTTTCCGATTTGTTCAAAGTCTTCTCTGCTAGTGGTTCACTGGTCATTCCCCCTCCCCTCCTCCCCTCCCCTCCCTTTCCCCTCCCACAGGTGGATTCCTCGTCACCCCTCTCTCGTGCGCCTAACCGGAAAGCACCCCTTCAACTGCGAGCCGCCGCTCTCCCGCCTCCTAACCTCCGGCTTAGGCTCGGGTTACGCCTCGGATTCAGGCTCGGCGGCAGGCTCGGCGGCTCTCCCCTCGCGGTCCGATCCAGCCTCGGGGTTCATCACTCCCGTGCCTCTCCATTACGTTCGGAACCACGGCTACGTGCCGCGCCTGGATTGGTCCACGTGGCGAATCGACATCTCCGGTCTAGTCAGCAAGCCTGCCAGCCTGTCAATGGCAGATCTGCTCGCGATGCCTTCCAGGAAGCTTCCTGTGCTGCTGGTCTGCGTGGGGAACAGGCGGAAGGAGCAAAACGCGGTGAAGCAGACGATTGGGTTTAGCTGGGGAGCGGGAGCCGCGGCGACGACGGTGTGGAAGGGTGTTTTGCTAAGAGACGTGCTTATAAAGTGCGGCGTTCAGCTAAAAGGGAAGAACGCGGGGAAATTCGTGTGCTTCGAAGGGGCGGAAACGCTGCCGGGTGGAGGGGGGAGTACTTACGGAACTAGCATGGATTTATGGAGGGTAATGGATCCTGCGAACGAAGTTCTCCTGGCGTACGAGCAAAACGGGCAGGAGCTTTCCCCGGACCACGGGTTTCCGGTCAGGGTTATTATCCCTGGATTTATCGGCGGGCGGATGGTCAAGTGGCTGAAAAAAGTGGAAGTTACCCGGGAGGAATCGCAAAACTACTACCATTTTCACGACAACCGCGTGCTACCTTCGCATGTCGATGCCGAGACTGCTATGAAGGATGGATGGTGGCGCAAAAAGGAGTATATTTGCAACGAGTTGGCGATTAACTCTGCCATAGTTAGTCCGGACCATGGGGACGTGGTGGCTATGGAGGGCGGCGCGGGCCGGCAGGTAGTGACGATGAAGGGGTATGCGTACTCGGGCGGCGGCAGGAGGGTGACACGTGTCGAGATCACATTGGACGGCGGGAACACGTGGCGGCTGTGCGATATCACCCACCCCAGCCCTCCCACTCGGTAAGAGCCTCTCTGTTTCGCCCCATTTATCCCAACCACTTCTTTCCTTTCCTCAACCTCTTCCCCCTTCCTACACCCGTTCCCCTCACACCGTTTTCCCCTTTCCGGTTCGCCCTCTTCAGTTCAACTCTCTCTCGTTCTACTTAGTGACACTCCCATCTCTCTCTCTCTCCCCCCCTACCCCCCACCAGCCACGGCAAGCACTGGACGTGGAGCCTGTGGGCGACTGAGGTGCCGGTGGTCGATCTGGTGGGGGTGAGCGAGGTGGCAGTGCGGGCTTGGGATGAGGCCACCAACACACAGCCTGATAAGCTGACGTGGAATGTCATGGTGAGTGGGGGTTGCTGACGTGGCATGTCATGGTGAGTGGGGGTTGCTGACATGGCATGTCATCATGAGTGAGGGCTGCTGACGTGGCATGCCATCGTGAGTGAGGGCTGCTGACGTGGCATGCCATCGTGAGTGAGGCCTGCTGACGTGGCATGCCATCGTGAGTGAGGCCTGCTGACGTGACATGACATCGTGAGTGAGGGCTGCTGACGTGGCATGGCATCATGAGTGAGTGATGCTGACGTGGCATGACACATGAGTGAGTGATGCTGACGTGGCATGACATCATGAGAGAGGGCTGCTGGCGTGGCATGTAATCATGAGCGAGGGCTGCTGACGTGGCATGCCATCGTGAGTGCGGGCAGATATTGAGTCGATTAGAAAACCACGACAACCGCACCCTCTCTCTCTGCTCCACTCGTCAACCCACCTCCCTCTTCGCTGCCCTCTTCTCTGCCCTCTCTCCCTTCCTCTCTCTCTCCTCCCCCTCCACCAGGGCATGATGAACAACTGCTGGTTCCGAGTGCGAGTGGCCCCCACCGTGACCCCAGCAGGCTCCATCTCTCTCTTCTCTGCCCTCATCTGTGCTCCTGCAACCCCCCCACCCCCCCCTCCCCCCCCACCAGGGCATGATGAACAACTGCTGGTTCCGAGTGCGAGTGGCCCCCACGGTGACCCCAGCAGGCTCCATCGGCCTTCAGTTCATCCACCCCACCCGCCCCGGCAACCTCGCTGGCGGCTGGATGTATGATGCCCCGGGGGAGGGTCAAGGCAAGCTGGTGGCAGGCTCACCAGCAGGAGGCTCAACTGCTGCTGTTCTCAAGGCTGCTGCTGTGCCTGCTGCTGCTGGTGCTTCTCAGACGAAGCCAGGCCCCATTGCCGCTCCTGCAGCTTCGGTGGCGGCGGCAGGTTCGGGAGAGAGGTCCGGTGCGGCTGTTCGGAAGATTTCAATGGCTGAGATCGAGCGGCATGCGGACGAATCCTCACCGTGGATCGTGGTGCATGGGAGGGTGTATGATTGCACCAGGTTTCTCAAGGACCATCCGGGCGGCAGCGAGAGCATTACCATTAATGCGGGCACGGATGTTACGGAGGAGTTTGAGGCGATACACTCGGAGAAGGCTAAGAAGATGCTCGAGGAGTACTACATAGGGGACGTGGCGGGAGAGGGCGAGGAGGAGGGGACTGAGTCCGCTCCTGCTGCTGCTGCTGCTGCTGCTGCTGCTGCTGCTGCTGCAACGCCTTCTCCCATCCCCGCCTCTCCTGCTCCCGCCCATCCCACCACGCTCGACCCCAAGAAGCGAATCCCCGTGCCTCTCCTCTCCAAGACTGCCCTCTCTCCGGACGTTCGTCGCTTCCGATTCGCCCTCCCCTCGCCCAATCACATCCTCGGGCTCCCGGTCGGCAAGCACTTGTTTGTTTGTGCCAAGGTGGGTGGCAAACTGGTGATGCGCGCGTACACGCCGACCACCTCGGACGAAGACGGGGTGGGGTATTTCGACCTGGTGGTGAAGGTCTATTTTAAGGGGGTAGTTCCGCAGTTTCCCGACGGCGGGGTTATGTCACAGCACTTGGAGTCACTATCCATCGGTGATACTATCGAGATTAAGGGACCTTTGGGTCATATAGAGTATCTCGGGCAAGGAAAGTTCCTGGTAAGTGGGGAGGAGAAGCAGGGGAAGAAGCTGGCTATGCTGGCGGGAGGCACCGGAATTACCCCTATTTATCAGGTGGCAAAAGCGATTCTGGCCGATCCGGAGGATAAGACGGAAATGTGGGTACTGTTTGGGAACAGGAGTGTAGCAGATGTGCTGCTACAAGACGAAATGGACCGGTGGGTTGAACAGTACCCGGGAAGGTTCCATGTGTGGTACACTATTTGCGAGCCTGTGCCTGAAGGGTGGAAGTATGGGGTTGGGTTTGTTACTGCTGCGATGGTCAATGAGAGGCTGCCATGTGGCGGAGAGGATAGCCTGGCGCTGATGTGTGGCCCTCCGCCTATGATTAGGGCGATGACCCCTCTGCTCGAGGGGATGGGATACTCGAGTGATCGCATGTTGACGTTCTGAGATGTGAGTGTGGAGCGTTTCTCTCCCCTTTTCTTCTTGTTTGTGCAATCTGTAATTTAATAAAAAGTAAACCGTACCGGTCCCAAATGTGTCAAAAGGAGGAGAGTACGCATTTATTGGCCTGTGAGGTTCTGTCAACAAATGTTCCATTCCGAGCAGACAGCTTCCTTCCTACACCTAATGAGAGCATGTTTTTGCACCTGAAACAGCTGGAACATTCGTTACCATATGAGATCTACGAATTATAGCAGCATGTTACAAAATGACATTTTCCCTGATATTTTGGGGCTGTTCAACACACACGTGGTGTCAAAAGATTGCTGTCTCTTGGGCAGAGTCAAAAATCAGATTACTAGTGGATGTACGTGTACCCTAACTGTGATAAAAGAATCTCTGCTCCCACCATTTGTTTTTTGAACCTCAATTGGCCTAGATTGTCCCTAGGCAAACGATAGTAATAATTTGGAAATTTCAAATAACTACGCAATTGTCAAGAGCACGAACACCCGTACCGGTACATAAAACAAATTACCCTAGGCTACTTAGTGTATAGGAAACAAATCAGGGAGTTTTTACAGTCAGGGATGGGAGGGGGAGCAGAGAGGGGGATGGAAAGAGAGGGAAGTGGAAAGTCAGCAACGGGAACTGGAAGGCACAGGCAGGCACGGTACTGGCAGAGGCACGGGCACAGGCACAGGGAGAAGGGAAAAAGGGGATCGGGGACCTCTTTGAGAGCGTCATAGCTCACTGGCCAGGGCCTTCCACGCTCCACTTCATCTGTTACACCTGTGCCAGTCAGTAACCCCTCAGCTGCCCCAGGCGCCTCAGGGGAAAGAACCCCTGCTGGTAACCCTCGATGCCCCCCTGGTAACCCTTGAGCCCTAGCCGTCAAGCTGTTCACTGCAGCTGCCAGGTAGCCAAATGCTCTTGCAGCAACACGAGCAATTCCGTCGCCTTGGTGACTTCGGAATCGTAACTACTCAAAAACCACCGTGGCCGTCAAGATATCAACACGCTGAAGTAAATATGTCGCCACGCCGTCACACTGCCGTCAAGCTGCTGCCTGCAGCTGCCCAGAAGCGGCGGACTGCTCTCGCAGGAGCACAAGCAGTTCCTTCGCCTTGTCCCCTGCAGAACCCGTTGCCTCGCGGGTAACCCTATGCAATGCAGGCACGACCCCTTCGCGACCAATCACCCTCCTCGCCTCCTCGTCGTGCCTAGCTAGCAGCAGCAGCGCGCTTACAGCCTCCTGCCTAGCTTTCTGCGACGAAGTCAAATCCAACACGTCCGCAATTACCTCTAACCCGCCGTTACCGTTCGCGGATTTCGCCTCCTTAATCGCACGCCTGCCTGTCGACGAACACGCGATAAACGAAACTAACGCCATCGCTCGATTCTCCAAATCCTCGTTCGCTTCCTGAACCATATTCAACAAAATACTCAGCCCACCAGTGTTTAGAAACTCCTCCAATAATTCCCGGTGGTGGTCGCCGCCACTTAGCAAAGCGAGAACCGCCAACACAGCGTCGATTTTTCCCCTCGTGCTGCCCGAAAGGAAAATTTCAACTAGGGCTGGGATGGCTCCGACTTTCCCGATTCGCAGCTTGATTTCTGCTAGCTGTTCTCGAGCCTTTAGAACAGCTGTTTCGGCGGAAGGTGTGGATGACTGCGGGGGGGTAGTATCTCGTTTACCCTGCTCCGAACCAGTCCCATTTGCCGTAGCACTCGCAGCCCCGGCTGCATCATCCGCAGCACCAGCTGTAGTCCCCGGCCCGGCGGTAGCAGCTGCCACTTCTCCTGCTGTAGCAGCCTCCGTCGGCCCTGCTGCTGCTTCCCCTGCTCCGGCTGTAGTGCCGCTAACCCCTGCTACTGTTTGCGCTGGACCCTCAGATTGAGTAGGACTGCTGCCACCACCTGAGATAACACCTGAGAATTCCCTCGAGTCGTAGGGGGAGCGCAGCAGCGCGGTAGACGCCGTGGGGGACTTTACACTTGGGGAGGGGGGGAGGGACGGGGTGTGTGGCGATGACCTGGCTGATACCGATGGTGACATGGACACAGCACCAACTGACGTGGATCGGGCCCCAGTCGGGCGCGACGGCGACGGCCCCCTTGACCCCCTTCCGCCTTTTCCGCCGCCGTTTCCGCCGCCACTGGGGGTCTGGATGCCCCAAGCAAGGCAGAACAGCGCAGCCGCTGCGTTTTCCCGTGCCGCTGATTTCTCCGCCCGAAGCGCCTTGACCAGCGCCTCCAACCCGCCTGCCGCGCCGCTGACGATCGCGTCGCGCCCGCCTTCCTCGCGACATACGTTGTACAGAACGGTCACCGCGTGCTCCACCGTGTCGCCGTCGGGCGACTCGGCGACGATATTAATCAGGAACTGAACCCCGCCGGCTTGAATCAATCGCTTCTTATTCTCCGGGGTCGCTTTAATCGCCGCGCGCACCGCCTTCACCGCTTCGCGAATCGCGGCGACGTCGGCTTGACTGATCGCCGCGATTAGCGGACCGAGACGAAGGGGCTCGACCGGAGCAGCTGGGGCCGCGGCACGCTGCGGAGAAGGGGAGCGCGCGTACCGCCCGGAGTAGCTTCCGCTTCCGCCGAGCCCCCTGCGCGGGGGACGGCGGCCCGGAGTGCTGCTTGCGACCGCGAGCGGGCAGAAAGCGTACATGTCGGCGTTACTCACGGCGCTCTTCACGCCGTAGCGTTCGGGACTGCGCTCGAGCGACGCGGAGCGCGGTCCGCAGGAGGAGAGGGGAGGAGTAGCTGACGTGAAAGTGTGAGCGTGAAAGTGTGAGCGTGAGCGTGAATGCCGGCCGCACTTCCAATCGAGTCGTCGCGGCGCGAAAACTCATTGCGACTCGATGGCTCGAACCCGTGGAGAGTGGTGACACGGGAAGGGGGGACGCGACGAGAGGCGACACGGGCCCATCCACCTGTCCGTTGAAACTTTGCGAGCGAACCTGCAGCCCATTCTGATTCCCTCCCGCAGCTGGAACCGCGCCCGCACCTTTGCGCGAATCGGAGCCGCGGCTGCCGCAAGCGATGACGCCGCTAGAGCCGCCGCTGCTGCTGCTCCCGCTTGTGATGTTAATCTCCGCGCTGACGTTGCGGCTCCCGCTGCTGCTGCTGCTGCCGCTGCCGGGGCCGGCAGTGTCCGTCGTGCTGCGCCTAACATTGGCAGCGGGGAAAGGGCGCAGGTTCGGTGTTGTCTTAGAGAGCGGGGAGAGGGGCAAAGGGGAAGCGGTGGGGGAAGCGGAGGGGGACCGGGTGGGGGAAGGGGAAGGGGACGCGGAGGGAGAGGGGGAAGAGGAGAGCGACCCGCGACGCGACGAAGCGGCGAGGGACGCGGAGAGGGGGGAGAACAGCGGCGGGATGCACGACGGCGTGTTGGTAGACGGCGGCGTGCGCGAGAACGACGCGTTGTACGCGCTTCGAAGCGACGCAAGGTTCTCCTGGCTGTTATTATGGCGGTGCGAAGCGAACGACGTTTTTAGCGGCGGCAGGCGCGATGCGAACACGGAGAGCGTACACGCGACCTGGCCTGTGGGAGAGTGCGGTTCGCCGTCGTCGTCTTCCACGTTTGGCGGCGGAGGAGCCGCGGAGGATGCTGAGGCTTTTATCATAGAGAGCATGATGCCGACGGGGCCGGAAAACGGCGCGCGACGGCGGAAAGGCGACGCGCTTCTCGCGCGGGAGGAGCGACTTTTCGATTCGACGGCGCTGCGGCTCCGACTTTCCGCTCGCCCAGACCGCGCCGTAGATGCCGCCGCCGATTGCGCCGCAGAACGCGATTCAGAAGAGGAATTCGATCGACGCAGGACTCGTGACGGAGACGCGGAGCGCAGAACGCTCGACCACGAACGTCCTTCTCTCCTCGAGGACGATTCGTCGCGAGAACGACTCGTCGTCGCCCAAGCCGCGTCTTCACCACCGTCGCTAGCCGCATCGTCTTCGTCGCCGTCGTCGTTCGTCGCATCTGCGAAAATGTCGTCGCGAGGAGCCATTGGCGCGCTGTGCCGGGCCCGGCTTCCGCACGGCAGCGTTCGGCTGCGACGAGATTCTGGCTGCGGCGTCGGCGACGTAACTGTTACCCCGTCGGTACTCAAAGAAACCGTTTCGCGAAACGACGAGCTGGTTGAAAACGAAAAATCGTGTCCCCCGGCGCGGTCTACAGCAGTCCTTTCGCTGCCGCGGCCCAACTCGCGGCCACTCCGTTCCGCCGCGCCCCCGCCTCCTCTCCCGCTCCGTTCTTCCGCGCCGCCGCCAGTTCGCGCTTCCGCATCCCCCTCCCAATCCCCCGAATCCCGCTCCGCGTCGAGTGTGCGCACCTGAAACATGCCCCGCGATCGACCGTTGAATGACTGTGTTGGACGCGAGCCGGGAGTAAGGGCCTTAGCTAGCGGCGGTCGCGGCGCAGGATTTTTCTGCGCATCTCGCGGACCGGTGGTTGTGGCGTGACTCGGGGAGCGGTAGAATTCCGTAATGGCTGCAGAGGCGTTCCAGTTGCGTTCGTCAAGGGCTGAAGACGATATGGAGGGTGGGACGAAGGGAGTCGCGCTCTTAGGTGAGGAGAGCGCCATGGTTTGGAAGTGTCGGAAACTCTAGTCTCAGGCTCTAGTCCAAAGTAAGGACGCTTCCTTGGTCTAAGATAGGTTCGCACTCAGAAACTGATGGTTGATGAAAAGAGTGAAGTCTACAAAGCAGGGAGCTTCTGCTCAAGAATCTTCTATGGTAGGTCCTTAGTTTGTGCTAATCTGTCTTGAGACATTTGTCGCAGTTTGTCTCTGTGGATTATGCTGCCTGTCAGTCCCTCTTGAGCAGATGGCATTCGCGTCCCTGTGACGAGTCGACTCGAGAGACTTGAGAGAGAGTGGAGAGAGTGGGGGAGGAAGGACGAGACAACAGGAATCTGTCAGTTTGGAAATGGCAAGCCTTGCGCTGCTGTCAACAGCCTGCTGGAAGCGCACGATTTTTAATGTTTGCGCTGTAACCTTGTCGAATAGCAAACAACGCGGTTGACCTTTGATTGGGCTTGACAGGCGCTTCTGCTTCCGTGGATGTCGGCTGGCTGGCATTGGACGGAAGCGGTGTTGGGCAGCAAATGTTCGAGGGACAGACAAGTCGGGCGGGCAAGGTGAGACCCGGGGAAAAACATCTCTGGGTAATTTCGCTGCATTATGCCTCGGAAGTTGGATGTTCGAACCCTAAATGTTTTCTACAACACAGATGAACTACAAATTCTGATTGCTTCTGCTAATACACCTGACTTGACATGGCCCACTAAAAACTTGTTTTTTTTCACGTCCACCACTTAATCCGCTCATTTACTCAAGATGCTCCTATGAAGGAGAAAAACGCAATTTTCTACAGGTGTTGCTCCTCGTCAAGGACTCAACTCTTGATTTGGGTTTCAGCTCACTTTCAAGACGTGCTGATTCACGACGAGTTCCCATTCCTATACAGGTAAGGGTTTCCTGGGCGAGGGGGTGGAGACGCGGACTGGCATTGAAACAAATTCAGCTTGAATTCTTCTGCTCAGGAGCCTCTTCCCTCCACACATTGGAAATGTATTCCACCCAAAAAACAAGCCAGTGTGGAAATTGCAGCCTGTAAAACAAAAGAATAGCAGTGCATCCAGCCCGCTTGGCAGTGCTGCTGTAGCCATCTCCACGCCACTCGATTCGACACCACGGAAGTGCCCTGCTGCCTGCCCCCGGTTTCTCTAAGGGAAAAAAACATCTAACAACGAATAAGGAATCTCTCGAACGCATCTGTCTTGTCAATCTCGAGGGATCTGAATGGAAGACGAAATGCTGCTGTATGGATGGCAGCTTTGGCTGCTGGTGCTGCCACAAGCAGCAATTCCTTCTGGAAAAACTGCGTGACGTCAAGGGTGAATGCTCGGCCATTGGGGTCCACTTATCCCGCATGCGACAATCACTGCAGCTGGGATATAAAATTGGAGGCTGTGTGGTCTCGTTTCAAACCGCAGCTCACCAAGAACTAATGGGAAAGTGGAGAACGTTCTAGTGTTCACTTTCTTACATTAATGGTATGCACTATTTATCCATTATCCAAATGGATGCTCACATTAAGGTAATAAGGCTAAGCATGATTACGACATTATTGAGATATACAACATCTGGTACAATCGCAACTACATTCACCAGTACATGTTCATGGGCCACATATTTATAATGAGTAAAAAAAACAAAATCTCCTAGTCAACTGTCACTTCTGTTTCTGTCTCCCATACTCATCATCACCATTTCTGCTCCTTGTGTCACATAAGCCACCACTTGCCGCCTCCCCACCCTCACCCTCATCGTCGTCACCACATCACCACCACTACTGCTCCTCGTGTCCCCAAGTCATCACTTGCTGCCGTTATCACTCACTCCAAGCATCTCCATAAATGCTCGCCCCCGCTTATCCCTCTTCCGTTTCCTCCTCCCACCCTCACCATCATCATCATCACCACCAGCAGACTCCGCCCTGCCTCCCCCTCTTGGTAAGCTCTCCTCTTCCTCCTCCCCTCTGCTCATACTAGTTGGTTTCTGAGAGATTTCAAAACCACCACTACTCGCCCTTCCTTTCCTTCTTGGTAAGCTCTCCTCGTCCTCCTCCCCTCCCCTCAGACTCTCCACTCCCCCCACCTCCAAACTGCCATCTCTATCCCTCACCACCGTTCTCGACCGCTCTGCAACCCCTTCTCCTCCTGTTTCAGCTGCAGAGTTCTCAGCTGCCTGCTTCTGAGCCTCCTCCCGCAGCCTCTTCTTTTCGTCCCTCTTTCTCTTCCCCTCCCTCACTTTCTTGCCCTTCCTCTTTCGTGCCCATTCATCCCTCACCCCCCCCTCCAGTTTTTCTCCTCCCTCTTCCTCCACATCCTCCCTCTCTCCCTCATCCCTTTCCTGCTTCTCTTTCCGCTCTTCCTTCCTTTCCTCCTGATTTTTCTCCCCTTCCTCCTCCCTCTCCTCCATCTCATCAGCCTGACTCTCAGTCACTACTGCCTTTCTCTTCCTTCCCTTCCTCTCTTTCCTCTCCCCACCCACTCTCTGCATTCCCATATCCTCCC